GTGGTGTTTTAGATGCACTGGCAAATTTTGATGTACTTAGAAAAACAACTGTGTTCAATCTAAGTACACCAACATTCAGGTTTGGCATTAACACACACACACATCCACATACTTTACAGCTACAACTAAGCAGGGGCTGGCTCACAAAGCTCCACCCATTATCAATTTGGTGCACTGACCATTCAATAACTAAAAAAAATAACAATTCCATACCTAGGTATATTAGGGATATCCGATACCGGTTTTTCATACGAATACCAATATTTTTGTTTTCTGTACTCACCGATACCGAATACCAGTACCGGAAGTCCCATTAAGGAAGCCAGGCGGCATGTAATGATTCGCCACCTGGCTTCCTGATTAGCCTGGAAGCCAGGAGGCGTGTAAAAACTCGCCACCCGGCTTCCCGATTAGCAGGAAAGCCGTCTCCATGCTTCTCATCACTAGGTGATTCTCGTCACATGGAGCCAGCTTTCTGGCCAATCAGGAAGCCAGGCGTCCTGATTGACCGGGAAACCGGCTCCATGCTCCCTCGTCACAAGGTGACGAGGGAGCATGAAGCCGGCTTCCCGGCCAATCAGAAAGCCGTCGCGCTGCATCATTACAAGGCCCCCGGCTTCCTGATTGGCCAGCTTCCCGACCAATCAGGAAGCTGGGCAGCGAGTCATTACACACTGCCCAGCTTCCTGATTAGCCAGCAAGCCGGCTCCATGCTTCCTCGTCACTTGGATGGAGCCGGCTTCCCGGCCAATCAGGAAGACGGGCAGCATGTAATGACTCGCTGCCCGGCTTCCTAATACTGGAAGCTCAAGTATCGGGCTAGGTATCGGAGCATTACGAGTACTCGCCCAAATACTTGGCATCGGCACTGATACTAGTATTGGTATCGGTGCATCCCTAATATTTATGTATGTGAATGGAACATCTTGATATGAAAATTACAGAGAGCTAAAATACCAAACACAGCTAAAATGATGCGTTCATCAAAGTGAATTTAACCTTTTGTCCAACTTCTGCATGGACGCTGCATAAATAATCCTTTATGTTTAGAAACACAGCTGACCTTCTGTACTCTGACGCCTACATACGCCTTGTGCCGTGCTTCTTGCCTATTGAATCTAGATTATTCTAAATGTCTTCCTCCCCTCAATGTTCTGCATTTCCTCATATAGGTGACCTCCTCTGCCTCTTTCCTTATCACTCTGCGTGTTACAGAACCAATAATACAAATTATCATCACGCCCATTACTCTGCTTAATCCTAGGTAAGTATTAACAAATCCAGTCACTAAAATCTCATATATGTTTTAACATGTTATTATAATTTTAAAAGTAATTTTCAGTCTGATCCTGCCATGAAGGACCTTGTTCACACACTTCCTGTAATATGGTGACAACCCTCTGTCCCTGTCTCCTAATTGTGCTATTGTGTTGTCACCTGTTCACACAGGCAAGTTGCCATTTTAACACACGTTATGCAGGTACGGTCCACTATTTTCCACTCAAATACCACGCAGCCATCAATGGAGAACACGTACCTCCCAACTGTCCCTCGTTTGGAACTAAATCCCTCCATCCCTCTTTCCTCCTCAGCTGTCCCTCATTTCAGTCTGATGTACAAATATCTATGAAAAGGTTCTATAAAGAGACCAAAAGTGTTATTCTGCTCTGATTTCAGGATGACAATCAGAGCAGAATAACAGAATCCGCATGGCGGGTCCTCCGTCGCGGTTTCTCCTGCTAGTGCTGACGGCCGGAACTACTTCCGCCAGTTCCTCCATCCTCTCCTGCAGAGAGAGGAGAGAGCCCGCGCGGGGTGTCGTGCCCTTCCGTTCCTGCAGCAGCCAGCGGTGGAATCGGAGGAGGCCGATACCGGAGGGACACAGGGAGTTGACCCCTCGATCAGGAGTTCAGGTTAGTGAAGCACCCCTGTTTTCTTTTTTTTTCTTAACCATTTCATTTATTTCTGAATTATTATTTTTATTGCACTTTGTAAAATTAAAAAAAATACAGGGTAGCAAAACAACAAAAAAAAGGAATTCACAGTGTCTAAGGGCTCTTTCACACTAATTGCGATGCGTTCCAGAGCGGTGGCTGCTGGAACGCACTGCAATCGCTCACCAAACGGGTATGGCACTGCTTCTGCGCCCCCCCCGGCGCCCGCAGTGCGATCGCAAAAAATAGACCAAGCAGCATTTTTCGCGTTTGCAGTGGAACAGAACGCAGGCAATGTTTTGTCACGCGTCCGATCACACTACGGGAGGGGGATGTGGCTGCGGTGCCATTGACTCCAATGCACCGCCACGCCCCCTCCCACCCCAGAACGCAGGGGGAAGTTTTGTGAGTGATTGCGGTGCGTTCTAGCGGCTACCGCTCTGGAACGCACCGTAAATTGTGTGCACAAGCCCTAAGGGTCCAGTCTCGCCATAAGGAGTGTGTTCCAGTGCGTTCAGACTCTGTAACGCAACACGGCCAGCTCACCTTGTCTACGGGTGGGAGGGACGTGGAGGTGCATTGAACTCAATGGCACCACAGCCATGCTCCCCGCCCGCAGTGCAATCGCCGGCACCCAAACTTTTAAGTATCTTACAACCATCGCAAGACAAAAGATGGCGGCGCCTAGATGTCGGCGCCTATATCGGCGTGTGACGTCACCTGACGCCACGTATGCATGGCGTCATTTGTGACGTCATGCTCCCCGCCTCCAAGATGGTGGCACGTATTCGCAGAACATGGCCGCCGCGCATTCTCAAACAAATTATTATGTGCCTGAATAAATTTTTCGTATATTCGGGCAAATAGTAATTCATTAATTTAACATGTAGTCTGGGTTTTGTGTTCTTTTTTTTCATTTTTACTTTTCTAGATGCATGACATCCTGACGCTCTATTTTTATAGACTATTTTAGTTTGACATTTATTGTTTGCCTACAATTGTTGTATTTAATAAGAATACTTATATTGTGCGTACAAGTTTAATAGCTTTAAATAAAAGTTTTATTGTTATCATACTTTTTAATGTTTCTTTGCGGCTTAACAAAAGAAATGGGTGTGGCCACTGAGGGTGTGGTTACGGAGGGGTGTGGTCACTGAGGGGCACTGTAAAGCTTTCTCGCACAGGGCGCCTAAAGGCCTAAGGCCGGCCCTGTATGGAGTGCAGGTGATTTCATATTATCAAGCTTGCTATAAGGCGGGTGGAGAGAAGTGTAAAGGCCATGCATATCTCCCTGCCCAGCTCCTGGCAACCAATTACGTCACTGGGTAGGACGCCGGGTGGGGAGATTACGCAGAGGCCCCCGGCCCCCACCGCCTGTAGCGTGCACCAGGGGCCCGCCTGCTGCCTCAAGTAGCGAAAATGCTAGGGATGCCCCTGAGATAGATAGATAGATAGATAGATAGATAGATAGATAGATAGATAGATAGATAGATAGATAGATAGATAGATAGATAGATAGATAGATCAGGGAAGATGAAAAGTAGCTATTGCTCCGACCTCTCTCAGCAAACATCCCCTTCTCTTCCATTGCAAATGGTTTCAGGAGGAAGTAAGAGTGTAGAAACTGCTTTACAATGGCCAAACCCACATCCAGTACACAATAATAGGCCTGAAGCACAGGTTCTTTAGCTAACGAGCAAATATGGCTGCTCTCAGGTTTTTTAAATATCAACATGAATCAGAAAGTATCTATGAGTACATACTGTATATACACTATTCCATGTGCTTTTGAAGCTGGAAGGGGATTCTTGTTCCTTCACCATGAAAAAGGTAACCGGTAGGATTTTCAGTTACAGATCATGGGCACTGTTGGGCTTTGTTGTAGGCCATTGCCACTGTCTGTCGTTTGGTGTCTGATTGTACACAGTCAATGAAGCATGTGGTTTGTATTTACTACAAGACACACATCCCGCACTTGCATTGTCCAGAAATCTCTAGCAAGTAGGTCAATATAAATGTGATTTTCTATGAATATGTTCTCTAGTGATTTCACTTTCCGGCCCTTAGTAACTATATTGATACCACCATGTCAGCCATTTGAAACCTTGAACTGATGAATATGCATTTGCTGCTTGCCTCGGCCTGGGGGAGCGGAAACATCCACCATATGTCTGCACATTCTGCACTATAAACATTCCACACACGTCTTTGTTGAATGCAAAGTAGCCAGGCACTTTGTCAAAGGAATCAATTGCATAGATTAAGAATTTTCCTGGGAAAACCAGGCTTTGTTTTAAAGCAGAACTCCGGCCAAAACTTTAACGAACCCTTGTAGTGGGGCTTCCTCTGCAATGCAAGGGGTAACTGCTTGTTAGCGAGCCAGTTGTTATTCTTTAATGACAGTTCAAGATCCCCAGGTCATTTGGGAACGCTGATCTGTTATTACAAGTGGGCGGGGCCAGCCGTGAGATCACAGCTGGCTCCGCCCAGCTGTCATTTGCGGGGAGAAAGGCCCACCTTCAGGGCGGAAGCCTTTGGGTGCTGTACGGGCTATTGTGAATAGACCTTAGAGCGGCCCTTCAGTTTCGAATGAATTGAAGGGCTCCCGCAACCAAAGCTAGCCGAAGGATCAGCCGAAGCTACGGCTGGATCCTTCAGCAGCTTTTTGAATAGGCCCCATGGAGTGAGATTTGGTGATTTCACTACTGTGCTGCTCACTGTTGTTTTTGCTGAAGCCTCTAACATGAGGTTAAAAAAAAGCCCTGCTTCTACCAACATGGCTGCCTCCACACAGAGGCACAGTGCAGAACACGGCATGGTGAGACAGTAACGTGTAAAGATCAGTTGCCATTTTGGGCAAGCTTCCAGAGTATAGTTCCTCTGTAACAGAACAAGCAATGCATTCCAGTTCACTTGTGAAAAATTTCAGCTGTTCTTAATATCTTTATTAAAAACATAATTCCTAAATGTTATGAATGTTCACCAGCATATGGTCGACTTGTAGCATTATGAGACCCCATGTATTGCCAGAAATATAACTCATATATTATAACTTTTTCCTTTCAGATGCCAAAAACAATTTGGACCTGCCTTGTCCTTGTCTCACTCTTTCTCGCTTTAACAGAATCAAAGAAAGGCGGGAAACCCAAAACTGGTGGATGGGGTAGTAATAATGGGAACAGCCGGAACCCAAGCTACCCAGGAAACACAGGCAGCAATTGGAATCCCAGCCAAGGTAATAGAGGTGGCCAGAACCCAGCCTACCCAGGAAACACAGGAGGTAACTACAATCCCAACTACCCAAATAACCCTGGAAGCAACTGGAATCAAGGTGGAGGCAACAATTATAACCCTGGAGGAAGCAACTATAACAAACAATGGAAGCCTGACAAGAAAAAAACCAACATGAAGATGGTTGCTGGTGCAGCTGCAGCAGGAGTAGTAGGGGGTTTTGTCCTAGGGAGTGCCCTTAGCAACATGAGATACCAGTTTGGCAATGATATGGACAATCGATACTATAACAACTACCGCAACGAGATGCCCAACCAAGTCTACAGGCCCCAGTACCAAGGCAATTCTTATGTTCCCGAAGAAAGGTTTGTCTCTGACTGCTTCAACACTACCTTGACTGAATATGTAATCAAACCAAACGAGGGAAAGAATGCCAGTGACATAAATGAAACAGAGGTCAGGGTCAAGAGTACCATCATTCGGCAGATGTGCGTCACTGAGTACAAGCGTTCACCTGAATATTCCAACTATAATTCTGGCCTGAAGATGTTCTTTAGCTCAAGTCTTATCTTTTTCATCTCCTTCTTTGTGTATTTTGTGGTGCAATGATCTGAAACATTGATAAAGGTTAATATGTATATAAAATTTGAAACAATACAGATATCCTGCTCCACTGCCTAAGCCAATATTTTCTCTACAGATTCCCTGTATAATCTTAGCTTTGGGATGCCCTGAAATATATGCTGTGTCCTTTGTTAGTGTAAACATTACCTATCACAGCTGTGCGACAATAAAAGCAGTGGTTCCATCAGTCATGCGTAGATACAGATCTACCTTACCAGGATCGTAAGATCTATATGTCTTGCAACAAACTTTTTGTTTATTATTGTCATGAACCAACAAAAACTGCCTTCTATGTTTGCATGTTCTTGCCCCATTCCTTTATATCACCTGCCTGGCTGACAAGCACCATCACAACCTTCCAAAGTAGCCATCTACTTCTTGGTCTCCTCCATTACTGGACATCCCAGAGACAAACTGTAGAATGTATCCGTTACCTAAGGCTGCTGTGGAAAATGCAGCATCATTGTCGGTTTTTCTTTCAGTTCTCAATTGCAATTCATACAGATTGCAGAATGAACAGATATTTTATATTTACAAGATCAGAAGATATGCATTTTATGTAAAAATATGGCATCTGTTCATTGGAAGAGTACAGGATGACGAGCAAACGAGGAGATATAGGACCAGACACCCACAATATGATACAATGCAGCATTAAATTGCTACACTTCTGTTTACACTAATGTCTTATTTAAGGAAAAGGCAATGGGAAGTAACCAACAGCAGGCAATTCATTATTCTGATTGTTTCATACTGTTAAAAGGTGAATTCTGGTTACTTTGGGCTGCTGTGCTTTACATACAATCACTGCTCTTGGCACTACTTCATTAGATCACTTATTGCCATATTGATTAGTTTACAGTCATTCAAACACCATCTAACTGTATAGTCAAGTGTGAACACGATTGTGCACCCTAGACCCTAACTAAATAATTAGCATACGTGTTGCCAGTTTTAATTGCTTGGATGTAAACATCAGAAATGCAGAATGGAAGAAGCATGCCTGCTACCATAGCAGGTCACCTGTTACTGTACATGTAATGTATTAATAAAGGATGTTTTGATTTTCTTGCCTTTTACCTCTATATGTTGTGGCTGGTGCCACTAAATGCATGCCTGTAAAATTCAGGAACTCTGAGAAATGTATGATCATATCACAACACTAATTTACTGGTTTGTTGAAGTGTACTCTGATTTAAAGTGACCCTTTCTTTGCAGAAAAGTCACTTAATTCTTCCCCTCTAGCCAGCAGTGCATGATCATCTTGCCTCACTCCATCACAACTCTGTTACCGTTGTTTGGCTACCAAAACTGGATAAAAAATCCAAAACAATGTGCAAGCTCCAAAATCCTTTTAATCTATAAACTGACTTTTCAAAGCTCATACTGGCCTATGGACTCCCATGTGACAGTGCTGGGCCAATCACATGGGGGAGAGTCCCAATCTCACCCATAGACAGAAGTGCTCGGTATTTCCTTTTGCTCTTGGGGGCCAAACTGAGGCAGAAGCGGGGAAAAGTGAGTATGTACCGCTGGGGCTTGAGGGGAGATGAGTGACCTTTTTCCTTTTCTTTTGCCAAGTCACTTTGAAGCAACTCTGTTGTTATAAAAATAAAGAAATGAAACCATTGAGAGCTCTGAAAAACATTAACTTTTTCTTAACCTCTTGCCGTCCGCCCGTAGTAAAAAAACGGACGGAACACAGTTAGTTAGCTAGGACTCCTGTGGGACTTTGTACTAAAGCAAACGCAATTCTCTTCCTAAAAAAGGACTTTTGGGCTTAGCAGAACTGACTGGCGCATGGCAGAAACGTTTGGATTACTTTAGAGCCATCCATCACTTCACACCAAGGCACTGTAATCCCTGCCTTTTAAAGACCCAGAGGAGCAAAACCAGGCAACACGCCTTTACACCAGGCCCCACTTAAGCCCAGGGCCGCTCGCGAAGGATCACATATTGATGGTTTAAGCAGATTTCACAGGACAGAAACCAAGGAGACGGTCAGGCTCAGCTCACCTTACAGCCATCCCTCAACCTTACAGCGGTCCATTGAGGTGGTGCCACCTCCAAGCTCCTTTTCTAATGTTGGCTGAAGGAAACTTGCAGCTGGCTGCATTGTCTCTACAGGTATCAGAACACAAGACCTTTCCAGAATCCCTGGGCCGAATGTGCTCTCTACAATAATGGAATCCTTTGTGTTCAGGACACTTACATTCATCCTTTTGGGCCCAAAAATGTGTCACATGTAAAAGCATTTTCACTAAGACCTGTTATTACTTTCCCCACAGCCACCAACTAGACCCTGTAAAGTAATAATCGGATTGTTGTCCAGCCAATACAATTTTTTTTAGTTTTTAGTAGAACGGGAAAGGGTTAGAACCGTATTATGTTTTTACTACTATCCAGGGCTCCGTCACAGGGCTTCACCCTCACTTCCTGTCCTACTGAAAAGGTTTTACCAGACAGGAAGTAAAGATAGATTTTCGACAACACAAACAGAAATAAAAATACTTTTTATTGGTTGAGTAGTAGAAAGCTAAGGCTGGCCAAAACGACACTGCCAAAGCCCCGCTGAACCGTGTGGATGGGAGAATCCCCTTTGCTGGGCTATTGTATTATGACAGAGGCGGGTCAGAATATCCAGCTGATTGGCTGCAGTCACTTGTCAGTTCAGAATATTTAGACTGACTCCTTTGACAAACGTCGATTTTAAATGCAACTTTTGATAGAGGGGTGCCGACTGGGCCACAATCTGCTCGAATCCAACCAGTGTATGGCAGCTTTAAACCCCTGTCAGATTTGTGTGTTTGTATCCCTGATGCAGATTTTCCCGTTTCTTGTGTAGTGTAACCATTGTCGGCAGGACTATGTCCGCACGCCGGAAAAATGTTCAATAGTGCTTGCTTATTTCACATTATAATCACACAATAAATTGCTTTATTGTGTGATTGTATTGCAAGAAAACAAGTCCTATTGAACTTTATTCAGGTGTGGACGACTTAGCTTTGTGGACTTCTTTTTTGTGCAACAGGCACATCCACATGTCTATGTAAACCTTCACGAGCCCAGAAAAACCATGTGAAGCCGCCAAAAACCCTTTGGGCCCCCATGAGCTCCTGTTTACTCTTTTTCCACTTTCACATACTGCTTGTTCTGTCATATTTACAGCAGTGCGCCAAATTTTGTTCTGCATGGTGTTTGGAGTGGTTTATATTAAACGGCTGTGGGTTAAACAGTCACTGGAGAAGTTGCTGCTTCTATTCAGGACAAAATCCTGCAGAGAAAACAGGCACAATCCGCTTACACTAATCACTCGGCATCAACTTTAAATAACCAATGGATCTGAATGACTGGGGGAAGCCTGGGATTGTGGAACTGAAGATATAAAATGATCCTGTACAATAAATCAGAACTCCGGGCGATTTTGTAACTTCTGATGTCTAAAGAAATGTTACCTCTGCTCAGTGGTAATAAATGCCTAGATCACTCTATAGTACTTTAAAATCAATACTTTTCTTTCTGCAGAATTGTACAGCTCCTGATGTACCTCTGGCCTGCTCTGGAGAGTTGCAAGTCTTATACTCTGCAGAGCAAGTGTCATTTTTTTCACCATCTCTCCCTGTGGCCGTTTACCATATGCTGTGTATTCCGTGAATGGTTACACCCAATAGAGGATTCGACTGTAGGAGCTCATTTGCCATGCTGATAGTTAAGGACTGTGCCAGGGAGGGGGCATGGCTGGGACTTTTAGCTGGGAAAATATCCCTGGTAGAGTATTGGAGCTTGTACCTGCTTAAGAAGCAGGTATAATCATCCATAATGAACACACAATAGCAAAAAGAGATTTTCCAAGTGTGTAATTATTCCTATTTTTATAGGCTTTCGGCTATAGGTAATGGCAGCATCTTGTATTATGCAAGATTTCAAAAAAAGGTTGGGTCACCTCTTTCTGTATCTATGGAACTCATCACCATATTGTGTGTTGGTTATCTGTTTAGATGAAGCACTGAGATGTATATAGAAATACAGCATTGCGTAGGAAACATATAGATAGAGAATTAACTTCATGTGTATATTATAGATATGTCTGAACATACAGATTAGCATAAACTAGCATTGTACTACAGCGCTATCTACAGCTCAAAAGACATAATATATGCTGTTGTATGTCTAACATTGTGACCACTGAGCCTTACAGGTTTCATATGGCCATGCGTCCCCAAAAAGTTATTAACCTCACAGTCCGTCAATGGCTCACACGGTTCACCTGTTTCAGATTCCAGGACAGCGGCAGACTCCTCAATGCCCGGGGGTCACAGGAAGAAGTCAGTAGCTGTATGGCTACTGTATGGCCATAAATGTAATAAGACACACTTCCTTCACACCACTTGTGGCATCACATTTATCCCAGCTCACCCAATAACAGAATGGCCAGTCAGGAGCATGCTTTTCTTTATTAAAAGGTATAAAAATGTTGTACAGGGTCCATAAGACGGGTATTGTTATAAATGAATCCTGCAGTCAGGCTGGATCTTATGAGCTAATAATATCCACATGGATGAGGCCCACTGAAAGGCTATGGTCCCTGTACTGCATGTGATGATGCTAGCATCTGAATCGGGCCCGATACAGGGCATTTTGACAAGTACTTGTACTTGTCAAAATGCCCCGATACATAGCGCCGAAGCTTGCGCTACGGTTTTTTTTTTTTCCTTACTTACCTCGCCGAGCGTCACATCACTGCTGCTCCGGTGGGCGGAGCACCAGGTGTGGTCCTAATTTAGATGACCCCGCTCGGAGCGCCGCCCACCGGAGCAGCAGTGACGCTCGGCGAGGTAAGTAAGAAAAGAAAAAAACAGCGGCGAGTCAGTGCTGGTCTGGCGAGGGTAGCTCCAGGTTGGGTTGTAATTTAGCTGGCCGGCACCTCTGAGCCAGCTAAATTAGAACCCCACCTGGAGCTCCTCCCACCGGACCAGTGCTGACTCGTCGCTGCTCTTTCTGGTGTTCGAACACCGGCACAGTGAGTGAGGGCAGATTGGGGGGGGGGATTTATCCTTACTATTAAGCAGAGTATAATTGTAAATGTATTGTCTGCACTGCATTAGCAGTATATACTCTATATGTACTACATATAGAGTACATATAGAGTACACACTGCTAATACAGTGCAAACAATACATTTACAATTATCCTCTGCTAACATGAATGGATTAAATGATCTGTATCATTTAATCCATTCATGTTAGCAGAGGATAATTGTAAGTGTATTGTTGCAGTGCACTCTATATGAGCATGTACTATATACTACATATAGAATTCACTGCAACAATAGATTTACAATGATCCCCTGCTAATATGAATGGGTTAAATGATCCGTAGTACATCATATGTAGCCCTGTACTACGGATCATTTTACCCATTCATGTTAGCAGTGCAGAATTGTATATCTATTGCTGCAGTGCATTCTATATGTACTGTACATATACAGCACAAATGTCCCCTACATTGCAGCAATAGATTTACAATAATTTTTAAT